TCTTTGCATCTGCAGTGTATTTGTACACACAAGCATGTGTGCACAGTAATAGAGGATTCGAATGAACTTTAGTATGGGCCGTTACTGAGATTGTGCTTTCGTTTCCTAGCCTGGCCATGTGAGACACTTTGTGGACTGTTTGCCCCTGTACCACAGAGCTGCTGTGGCTTCCTCCCATGCCATGCCGCTGACTCTTCAGGCAGGTTTCATCCCTAACTGCATCTGGAGGAATGATACGGGTCTCTGCCTTCCTCTTGCGGATGTCAGGGGAGTCATGATTCAGAAATAGCAGTGTCAAGATCATGATGAGCAAAACTAGGGTGAGGGGGGTTTATAAATGGAGATAGACCTTGGTTTCATCACTTTGTTATTTATTTCCCTAGCAGACCACTGAGACTAACAAGGTGAATTTGTATTCTGTTAAAGGGTTTGTTTCAAAGAAAATATTCTCTAGTCTAGGTTGTTCTTCACAGACTCTCGATTTTCAACCTTCTTACTTATTCTCTTTCAAGGATGCTGCTATTTCACATCAATAACTGACACCTTTATTTCAGAGAACAAAATAGAATTACACTCCAGCACTGACAATATAATAAATCAGGAGGGATAAAATACATATTAGTGAAGTTCACATAGTTGGTTTGTCCCAGCTGACCTATAGATATAAAGGTATGATGAAAGTTTTTTTGGACTGCTGCTTCTCAATCTTGCCACAAGATTTAGCTCCGACTCAAAGATTTGACCTTTGCTGCTCCTCTCTGCTTACCTTGATTCTTTGGAATTATTGTTATTCCCTTGAAGCCTTTCTGCCCGACCAGAATTAACACTGTGTTGTGACAAAATATTATCTATTTGGCAGCAGAATGAAGCCATCTAGAATTCAATCAGGTTAGACAATGTCACGGTGCACATCCTGAATGAATCACTTCTACCTAGCTTTTTTAATCAAAGAAATCTCAGCCATACAACCAGGAAGTGTCATGCTGGAGAGTCACATAGCTGTTTACAATTAAAGTTTAGGCATATCAGTTGTTTTTTATGAATTATGGTTGAAAAGCATGCCTGCCAGAGCACTTAATCTTTCAGACAGGTAACAGAAATAGAATCTCAAAGCCACAGGTTTATTTAGAGTATGAAAATATTTATTAACCTTCTTGGAAGTGTTTTTACTGAAGAAGTTCCTTGTGGTTCACCATACTGGTAAAAACAAGCGTAAGTAAAGGAAGCATGAAAAATGTGCACTGAATAGTCTTGAGAAAAACAGTATGTGGTATTTTTGTTTTCCCTACTGGGGATAAGATTACCAGATGAAGAAAATGCAGTTTTACTGAATTCAGTGGGGCTATCCAGATTCGTTGTGTACGACCCAAACCAGCTGTTTGGGAAGAAGCAGTTACTGAAAAGATGTGTGTTTTTCATGATGTAATAATAAGTATTTGTTGCTTTTAATGTCGTTTCCATTATTTTCAATGCTACCTATCTTTTTTTTTTTAAAATGTACTTGTTAAGTTACTTATGTGTCTACTAGTTTCATCATTACTAAACCTATGTGTTTTCCTTGAAACTAAATCTGGGTAAGTTCCACACCATTTCCCCCTAGCCCTTCCATTTATATTACATACTAGAAGAATTTAAGCTAATGTAATAGTGTCAAATTGAGATGCATTTGACAATGCACTTTTCCTCTGATGAGGGATGGGCTAATGTAATCGGCAATTATTTTTTTGTGTGACCTTTACAAATCAAATGGTTATTTCCTTGCTTTTCATTTGTATTTTGCTCCCAGTGGTGCAAGACTGCTGCAGTTAGTATAAAATATAATTTATAGATAGAGTCACATTATAATAGGATGCAATATTCTCAAAAACTGTACATACTGCATGGACTTTTTAATGGAATAATTCCAAGGAATGTATAAGCTGGCCAAGACTAAATTTATGCCGTTAATTCACAGAGGAGTTACCACGATCACCATAGAGATGTCCTGGACCTGCTGCGAAGTAGTGAAAGTGGAGGCAGCAATAAACCTTGTCTAGGATAAATCCTGTGTTAGTAATGGAATTACAGTAGAGAGATGCCATAGCTTTCGGGATCCAGACTGGTGACTGCAGAGGGTCCTTCTACCAAATGCACCTAACTTACACCCACTGGTTGAGTAAATGACATAGAGTTTAATGCCTTCCCAACATATGCAGTTGTGAACAGTGTTTCATTTTGACATGGCTATATGGTTCTTCTGAGGTCTAGGGAGCATTTGTTCATGAAAGGCATCCAGTGAGTAACAGCGGGTGAATCTGATGAGTGAATGATGATCTACATCCATGAGACTTCTCTCCATTGCGTTAATAGAGTCTTTATGCCTGCAAAGCTCTTCTGAACAATTTAGTCTTTTCTTATAAATGACATAGAAGAATTCCGCCCACCGCCCCCTTTTTTTTTTTTAAATATAGATAACAAAAAAAACCCCATACCAAATAGCAACAAAACCTCATAGAATCATTTGTTTTAAGTTAAGGAAACCTTTTGGAAATAGGACATTCTCTCACTTATTCAGGGAATCAACTGATAATGCCTCCATAAAAACTGTAGAAACATCTTATTGAAAAGCTAAACATAAGTGTTAAAAGTAACTGGCTGTCAGGGAATATAAATTATTAACTCACTGGTGTGTGTGTGTGTATATTTTTTTTTTTTTTTTTTTTTTAATAGAAGATGCAAACCCAGAACAGAGACATGGAGGATCACACTACTTATCTTTGTTCCCATGTTGATCACATGACATTTCTCATGTTTTTCCTGTACTTCTCAAATTTCCATTTAGTCACAAGAAGTTTGTTGTAAGTGAAAGAGCCCAGGATGAAGAGCAGTAATTTTGAAGATCATAACAGGAAAAAAAATTTTAAGACACTCTGTATTCTCACAATATCACAAGAGTTGTGTAGTGAAGCCTTTTGTTCTAAATTTTCATTTTCTTGGAAAGGCAGAAAAAGGAAAGTTTCAGTAAAATACTGTTTTACAGAGAATGTTTCTGAAAGTTGAGAACAGAGCGAAATATACATATGAAAAAAATGTATATATTTTTATATATATACCCATGCGCTTTTTAATATTGACATGCATATAGAAGTTCACATAGCATATTTGCCTGGAGAAGTTGTGGAACCAACTTCTGTGGTTGTGCAGAGAAGTTGTGGATGCCCCATCATTGGAAGTGTTCACGGTCAGTTTGAATGGGCTTTGAGCAACCTGATCTAGTGAAAGATGTCCCTGCCCATGGCAGGGGGGTTGGACTAGATGATCTTCCAACCCAAACCATTCTATGATTCTACAATGGAAAGTGAATAGGAAAAGGACATCCTCTCAAAAGAGAGTAGATCAGCTTTTAGCATAGTGAACTATGTCCATGCTAAACCAAATGAGGGAGACATGAAACATGGAAAGTAGCAGTTCATGTCACTGCAGAATAAGTATCTGCATAAAACCACCATGGTTTTTGGCACAGAAGCTGTTGCTCTTGCTATTTCTGGGGGCTATGGTACTGATTCTTCCCTGCAAGCCTTTTATGGCTTGTGATGCTGATAGTGGGGATAGTTGTCTGACAAACTAGAACATTGATCTTCTGAATTTGGATAATACTTTGGTTTGATAATCAGCAGTAGGATCCTTCTAGCTCAACAAAATTAATTTCTGAGCACTACGTGGGCTACTGCATCCTGTACTTAAATTTCCACTGCAGATACAGGACTCAGTTCATTGTTGGGTTTTGAAGTCAAAGGCAGTATGCACGTTTGAGCTAGTAAGATTGACTTTGGATTTGGACCTGAATTAGGAATGACTGTTTTTTACTCATCTGGCTCTTCTTATCTCTCAGGTTATTTACTAATATGAACCAATACAATCGAAGAAAAAGGTATTGTTGGTCTAAAATACTGCTGCCACCAAAAAACCTGTACGTTGAAGGAAGGTTTACCATTCTCCTAAGACAAGTTTTAAGTAGAAGACATGGTTTTCTGAGGGATCACACCTATATCGTTCAAACACAAAAAGCTATAATTAGAAATAAATATTTAAAATGATTTGCTCATTATTCCTTGTTGTCTGATTTTTTTTTTTGACTGTACCAGCCTTATTTTATGTCATTGTTTTATTTAAAGAAGTCAAAGGTCTCTGCACAGACTGAGAATAGATACGGTTTGCAAATATGACAAGTTTGTGTTTTGCATTGCCGAGTTCTGATTAGTTCTTAATTTATGAAACCCCACTACAGATGGCCTCTTGCTAAATTTTAAAATGCTTCCACGTTTCAGAACCAGGCTACCTTTCAGCAAGTCACTTTTGTCAAAGCCTTGGTGTTCCTTCAAGACATTGTCAGTGTGTTCTATGAGAATGTACAAACGGTGAATACCCTGGTCTGTCCTGTACCATATATTTGAATCTCTGGAATTTATTTAAATGAAGCGACTAAGAATGTATTTTTTCTGACTAGGAAATAAGTTACAGCAGGTCTATTTCTAGACAGCAGAAGTAAGCGTGCCTTAGATGGTGATTAAGAGTTGTGTTCTTCTTCTTCTTTAAATGACTAACCTGGAGTGAGAGGTTGGATGTCTTTTGAAAACTTAAACCTGTTTCACCTGAACATGTTTAACTAGTTAATAAGAAACATCAAAAAAGACAAAACCCTGAGGTCAATGATCATTTTTTGTAAAGCCATTCGATGATGTTTAAATTTGTTTTTTGGGTCTGTCTATAACATAAGTTTAATAACCTAGCTCAAATGCAGATTTCTAATTTTCAATTAACATAGGAATAATTTTGTTTGCTAAAATAAAATAAATGAATGAATGAAAAGTCTGAACCATGAAATGTTCTAGGTAGCACTTTTTAAAATTCCAAATTTCAAAAAATCATGTGGCAACTGTATAGCTCAAGCTTTAAGTATTAACTTTTAACCTTTGACCTTACAGATTTTAACCAATGAAATGTCTCTTTAAACTTTAAAGGAAACAATGATAACGAGCGCCTGGCGATTGCTAGACAGCGAATTCCATATCGACTTGGTCGAGTAGTTGATGAATGGCTACTCGACAAAGGTAAAAAACATTGATTAAAACTTCAAATAAAAAAATAATTTGAACATAACCAAGTAGTACTTCATTGTAACACTAATAAACATAAAAAATAAATTTCAGTAAAACTAAATTAAAAACAAATTTTAAAAAGTAAAATATAGAGTAATATTTGCATACCTTGTATAATAATTTCTATACATTTCTAGAAGTACCAGCTGTTTAATAATCTTACCCTGTTAACTTAAGGTTAAAGGGACTGTTAAATATAATCCACTAACTCAATCTATGAAGGTACTCATAGCAAACATTAACCAAAAATTATAAATCATTCATAGATTATATTACATGTTCCAGCATCTAAATTATTAACTAAAAATATATGTAGTTATGATATCTTCATTATGGTCCTGAAAAAAAATTTGTTTAAACTGTAGGTATCTTAAATAGTGGGCAATATGAATTGCCAATCAAAATGAAGTCCCTTTAACGTTTGCAACCTTCTAAGGGGATTTTGGAACAAACACTAATTTAAACAGAACTTAAAGTTGTGTGCATGCTTTTTGTGAGCAGAAACCAATCTGCTAAAGTGACTATTCTATTCACTAAGAGTGGTACTGTTGCTGAGGATTTCTCTGTTTAATGGAAATGTGCCATGATTTCTCCATCGGTATGTGTATCATTTCTGAAGCCGCTTTTACATCTAAAATCTTTTATTTTAATTGATAGCCTTGCTGAAAGCCAATCAGACATCTATTTTTGAATCTGCCTCTGAGATACTCAGTGTGAACCATGTGTTTCTTTTCAGTGTGGATGTTGAAGGAAAATAAACATTTAAATACAAAATTGAAACATTTAATTAAAAATATAAATATTTTATTCACTTACATAGAGATATGACAGATTACTCTTCACTGGATCTAGTGGCTTGTTGGCATATATATAAATTCTCTCTGTGTGTATATACATATTTGTATATGTCTATACATACATAAACTCACATGTACATCCTTAAAGCTATAGGCCCTATGCTGTATTGCGTGGAAAAAACTTTGAAATGTTGGCAGACTTGAAGAAAAAGTA